GTGAAATTGCAGATCCTTTTGGTATTGAATTATTAGGGGAAATATCCTTACAATTAAATCTGTTTAGCAATGACATGAGCTGCCAGAGGAGGTAGCGAGTACCCCATGAATAGAGGTGTTCAAGCAGACCCTGGATGACCAACCCCCTGAAGGGAATACTGTAGAGTAGAGGTATCACATACACTGACCTGCAGGCCACATGTGGCTGGCAATACTCTTAAGTACAGCCTGAATCAGATTAAAATGTAAATGGGAAGTATTTAATAAAATAATTTAAAAATACAACAAAACACAGGTAACATTATATTTTAAAACTAAGTCAATAAGATCCTAAAGTATGGATCAATGGCCCCTGACTCTATTTGAGTTTGATACCACTGTTGTAGAGGATTCATGTATTGAGGAAAAATTGGACAACATGACTTATGGTTTATTTCATCTCTGTAAGTCTGATTTTTAATATGCCATCAGAAGTCTCTCTGTTAACTCCAATACAGCTCATCTTTGATGAGCCTACGAGTGGGGCTGCTGTTGTAGGCCTTACATGCAGATTTACAAGTTCACTCAAGTGTCATCCACTGCTTTGGTGGCCTAGTTGGCCCTGAGCCTTGTGGTAATGGCTTTCATGGAACATTGCTCAATCCTGTCAGCCCACACAGTGGGTGTGGGTAGCTTCCTGTGGAGATGGCCTCTTGCCCTCCCTTTACCCCCTTCTAAGCCTAGATTTTTGAGGCAGCAGTGCCCACTCCTTATGTCTCCAGATGTGCCAAGGATTGGTGCATACATTTCCAGTTTCATCTGTTTTATAAAAAAAAATCATAGGATGTATTTACAGGACCATGTTACTGATTTTAAAATTTATTTCTTTTAGAGGGTGAAATAGACCTGTTTTTAGCATGCTGGGGTACATGGAAGTACAATCTTTTAAAATTTAGGCAAAGTGTTTCTAGAGGGACATTAATGAAATAAAACATGTCTAGATTGGGCAGTCAGGAAAAAGTCATAGGCTAGATCAGAGTTGAAAACTAGAAGCAACCATGGAGAGCATCTAGTTGAACTGCCTAATTTTGCAAAAGAGAAAACAGGTCCAGGTCACAAAGGAAGTCAACAGCTTTGAGAGGATTGAACCCAAGCCATCTGGCTTCAAATACTTTGGAGTGCCCTTTCTGCTATATAAATCCATGTGAATAGTTGAGGCAACTGGACACATTTTGGGCATGGGTCATATTGGCCAACCTCCATTCCTCTCCTGGCTGTGCTTCTGATTTTCCAGATTTCAATACCATACTCCTGCATGGATTCCTTTCTGTCCTGCCCCCTGTTTTCAGCTTCCTTCTTCATATTGTCTTCTCCCATTAGAATGTAATCTCTTTTAGGGCAGGGACCATCATTCTTTTATAGCCTCAATTATTATTTCCAGTGCTTAGCACAGTGCCTGGTACATATTAAGTGCTTAATAAATGTATGTTGTCTGATTGTTACCTATATTTAGACTGGAAAAGAGAGGGCTTAGAGGACCATGATACTGGTTTCTAAGTATCTGAAAAGCTCTCATATAGAAGAGAGTAGATTTGTTCAATATAGTGCCAATGGGACCCAGAGACCTTTAGGACCAGTGGATGCAAGTTATATGGAACAGGGTTTTAGCTCCATATTAGGAAAACCTTCTAAACAATTAAAGCTGTCCAGCATCTTGTGGTGTCCAATGATCATTTGATGAATGAAAGAATTAAGGGATGTTGCAAACCCCTACTCTTTTCCCCTCATTTCATCCCATGGCAGGCTCTGTAGCCCACAATTTCAATGGTTTCCACCAAGACATTACTCATGGTAGTTGGTCTTATTCACCCCTTTAGTCATATGGTAACTCGGGAGATTAGGATGAGAATCAAATGAGATCATATATGTCAAGGATGCTAGAACCATAAAGTGCTATAAAAATTGTTACATGCTCTTGAGTGTCATTTCACTACATTTTAAATTTTAAATGTTGTATTCTCTCATTTTGTTATATCATTGATAAACTCCTAAGGTCCCTAATGAGTGTTATCACTTATGAATGGATGGATGCTTATTATTAATATTGGTAATGGTAATGATGATTGATGGGAGGATCAAATGAGCTAACTTGTGTAAAGCACTTTGTAATAAATTTTAATGTTGGCTATCACCAATGTCATCATCATCATCATCATCATCTTCATTAAGTAGGCAAGGAAAGAGGAAGGCATTATAGGCAGGGAGTGGAATAATGTGGATAAAGACAGGAGTCAGGAGTATATAAGATTTCTTCAGTAGACATCTAGCTGGAGCAGAGGATTTGTATAGAGAGTAGTAATAATTTTTATTTTAATAGATTCTATTAATAATTACTGAGAAATTTTGCCCTCCTGGGTAAGAGTTTAGGGCACAAAATTTGAGCTATTTATCCAATATTAACATGGTAGAAGTGTGGAGTGCCTTTATACTTAGTAGGTGTCCCAGGTGCCACTTGTGGTGCTCCAATAACAATAACCACACCCGTTTCTAGTCCACCTTCTGCTAGCCTATAGAAAAATGGGCTCTTGATTAATAACCAGCAGGTGAGTGTAGTTTATAAGTTGGCCACCAAATCAACTCCTCATCTCTGCCTCCTGCTTTCCCTGGCTTCTTTCAGATTCAGGCTAAAATTTCATCTCTTACAGGAAGCCTTTCTCAATCCATCTTAATGCAAGTGGCTTCCTTCTGTTGGTTAGCTCCAATTTATCTTGCATATGTCTTGTTTCTTCATAGTTGTCTTCGTGTTATCTATATCTCCTCCAATAGACTGAGAGCTTCATGAGAGCAGGGACTGTCTTTTGCTTTTTTTTTGTATCCCCATCACTTAGTACTGTGCCTGCTGTAGGCACTTAATATTTTTTTGACTTATCAGATAAGTAGCCCTATACTTGGGCCATTAAACAATTGATTTTGTCAAGTATATCCAGTAGACCTGCTTGCTCTTCCCCAAAGCCCTGTATTATCTCAATTTCCCAACTGCTCTGTGGAAGGGGGATTGTGGGAAAGTTACCAGACTTCATGGTCTCTAGTGAGCACTGTGAATATGAAAGCTTTTGGGAAGTTGATACAGGAGACTGGATACATAGACACTGAAATGGCTGGCGGCTTGAGTGTAGTGCCTTCCACCTGATGGCCAAATCATGACATTTTTTAGTAATTTAAGTGACAGCCTGCTTTTTTTGTAGTAGAATAAGAACTATGTGTGAACTACTGTTGCTAGGAGCATTTGTAGGGGCCTGTCTGGGACTAGCTGTGGAAACAATAAGGGGGGGAACGGGCCAAGGATCTCATCAGCATTAATATCACCAGATGTTGAGTATCAGGTATCATGGCAGCTGCCAGTCCAGCTGCTCATGCTTGCTGGTCTGTCTTGTTGCAGTAAGGCCTTGGTCTCATCTCCACCCCAGGCTCTGTTCCAACTCTGTCTTTACTTTTGATCCTCACAACTACCCCATTAAGGAGATAGGGAAGGAATTATTTTCCTTATTTGACAGAGAAAGAAACTGAGACCCAGTTTCTTTCAGTGATGCCCCCAGGATGATCCAATCTGTAAATGGCAGAGTTGGGACTCAGATCCATGCTAGTCCATGGTTCTTTCCATGATGATTCAATATGAAAGTTAAAACTTATTCCCAAGTGGATATGGAACCAGAGATCAAGAAAAACCAATGGGGTCTAAAGAAAATTGCTTCAAACATTACCCAAGATAAATGGGTACTTTTCACATTGCTTTTACAGGCACACCTGAGTACTTTGCTGAAACCTGAATAATTATGTTGTTTGTAGGGATATTTGTGGTATGAATTAGGTTTTGGTTATTGGTAATAGTGGTGATTCACACCTTCTTATAGCACTTCAAGGTTGATAGGATCCATTCCTCATGAGAACCTTATAAGAGAGACAGCAAAGTACTGTTACCCTCATTTTACAAATGGGGGCAATGAGGCTCAAAAAGGTTAAATGACTTATCTGTAATCACACAGCTCATATTCTATCTGTGGTGCTTTATGGTAAATTTTAGGTCAGGGACCTAAAGGGCAATGCATGGCAGGTGTCAGTGGGCTGTCATTTATTTTTACAAAAGATTTATTAATGATGACAGATAGATAGACACTCAAAGAGAAAAGGAGGAGGACCAGTCCTGTAGTGAGAGTGGAGAATAATGGATAGATAGCTTGAATGCTGCAGTGCTACCCTTAGGATGCCAAAAACAATTGAGAAAGGCTTTCATTGCATTAGGTGGATCCTGTATGGAGGATTTATGGAAAAATGCAACAAAGATCACACAGGGTAAGAAGGCACAGGTGAGTTGTGATCTGTGCCAAGGGAGAAAGTACTGATCCCAGTGATATCAAATGATCCATCAAAGTATCACAAATGAAGACCCGGCTGTAGAACATCTCTATTCTGTTCATTATCCTCAAGGCAGTTAGATGGTGCAGTAGACAGAGGACTGGACCCAGCATCAGGAATATGGGGAATTCAAATCTAGCCTCAGACACTGACTAGTATAATCCTGGACAAGTCACCTAACCTCTGCCAGTCTCAAGTTCATCAGCTCCGAAATGGGGATAATAATAGCACCTACTTCCCAAGGTTGTTATGAGGATCAAAGGAGATATTAATATAAAATATTCAGCACAGTACTGACCCTTAGTAATTGCTATATAAATGCTTATTCCCTTCCCCACCATACTCCATTTTCTTTGCTTCAGCATGCTCTATCAGCAAATTCCTAATGAAAAATGCCAGCACACTTCGAAAGACAGTTCTCTCAATCAACAATGTCCACACACAGAGTCTAGCCCATAGTAGGTGCTTATTGATATTTATTGCTTCATCATTGATTGTAATCCCAGTATTCACAAGAGTTGTGTTTTGTAGGATCACATTGTAGAAGAGAAATGTTCAGATGATCTTGGAGTCAAATTGATATGTGTTCTTCGCCTCTTCCTCAACAGGCTTCATCCTCTGAAGACATGGGACGATGGATTGGGATCTTACTGGCTGAAACAGGGTCATCCACTGACCCTGGAGCGCTACATTATGATTATATCGATGTAGAGATGACTGCAAATGTCATACAAACAGCTAAACAGACGTTCTGGTAAGATGCCTATCAGTGAGTTAAATATTCTCAGGCTCCTGAAACTAAGTAATTTTCAGTTATTTGTTTAAACTAGAGTTGTCTCTTAAACAGGAAAAAAAGTAGTTCAAAACATCTGTAGGTTTATTTTAATGTACTTAATATATATTCCATCTACCTTCGCCCTCAAAATATGTGTCTTTGGAGAATTTGTGTCCCATCCTAAGTACCGAAATTTGGGAAAGAGCTGAACAAGTTAGAGTGGTGTCCAGAGAAAAGTGACCAAGATGGCAGAGGCTTCAAAAACTATTGGCATTCGATGATCTCTGTGCTCCCATCCAACCAGATGATTCTATTATTAATTTTGGTTTGCAGGAACCTTATCAACCTTTGCTCCTTTTCAGAGTGTGCTGCTACAGAGAAAGCTAAAGATGGGCAATCGTAGACCATATTAGTCCCGATTTTATTAAACTATTTTTGGCATTTCAATCCTGCCTGCCTTTTCTACTAGACAAGTAGTTTGATGAAGCTGACTCTGACTCTTGTTGAGATAAAGCCTGAATTTTTAGTGCCTTTATTGAATGCGTTTATTGAATTTATATGTGAGGTTGCTAAAAAAAATTTCTTTTGAATCTTTGCACCCAGGAACATTTCTTTGACAAAATAGCTATAAAGATGCTTCAAAGTCTGGAAATGATGAAAAGAAAACAAGGGGGAGTAGCCAGAGGAAGAGACATATAGAAAGGAAAGAGGAATTAGGAATAACAACTGCTCATATTTATCTTGTTCTGTACAGGTTACCAAATGCTTTTTTTACTCACTGTCATAACCCTATGAGGTAGGTAGTTTGAATAGCAACATCCTGATTTTACAGATGAGGAAATTGTAGCTCAGAAAGGATTAAGTATCTTCTTTTAAGTCAAATAGCAATAAAACAGCATTTCTGGAGCACGTTACAAATGTTATGCTATGTGATTCTCACAATAACCCTAAGAGGTGGTATGATTAGGCACATTTTACAGATGTAAAAGTTAGGACTAAGAGATACAACTAGTACGTAGCAGAATTGGGATTTAAACTGAGGTACGTCTTCAGACTCTTTGGCCCTTTGCTTTTTTTTTTTCTTCTTCCTCTTTTTTTTTAATCTCATGCTATTTTCCATCATACTAAAGGTGGAATCCTCATGCTCTGAGTACTTTTTTGTGTAGACCCTGCAGTGTGGCATAGCTAAAGTAGTCAAGTCAAGCCAATAAGTGTTTATTAAGTGCCTTCTATTAGCCAGGCAGAGTGTCAAGTGCTGGAGATACAAAGAAAGGCAAAAGATGGTACCTGCTCTCAAGGAACTCATAGTCTAATGAGGTAAATAACATGCCAACAACTATGTTCAAACAATCCAAATAAAGGATAAATTGAATCAACAGAGGGAAGGCTCTAGAATGAAGGACATCAGAAGGCTTCCTATAGAAAGTAGGATTCTCTTTTAAATCCTGAATCTTGAAGGAAACCAGGGAAGTTGGATGGCAGAGATGAGGAGCTAGAAAATCCCAGGGAAGGGATGTCTACCTAATGGAAACATAGAGTTGGGAGATGGAGTGTGTTGTACAAGGAATAGCAAGGAGGCTAGTGTCACTGGATCTTATAGTACATGGAGGAGATCAAGGTACAGGAAGACTGTAAAGGTGTGAAGGGTGTGAAGGGGCCTGGTTATGAACGACTCTAAAAGCCAAGCAGGATTTTTTATTTGATCCTTGAGAAAATAGGAAGCCACTAGACTTGGAGGGCAGCTAGATGGCGCAGTGGGTAGAGTCCGGGGCCTGGAGTCAGGAAGACTCCTCTTCCTTAAGTTCAAATCCAGCCTCCAACATGTGCTAGTCGAGTAACCCTGGGCAAGTCACTTAACCCCATTTGCCTCAATTTCCTCATCTGTAAAATAAGCTGGAGAGGGAAATGGCAAATCACTCCAGTATCTCTGTCAAGAAAACCCCAAATGGGCTCACAAAGAGTGAGAAATGACTGAAGAACAACAAAAGAGGTGATTGAATAGTGTGTGTATTAGAGAGATAGAGAGAGAGAGAGAGAGAGAGAGAGAGAGAAGGGAGGAAGACAGAGAGAGACAGCGATGGGGGGCAGAGACATAGAGACAGAGACAGAAAGAGAGGGAGGGGAGAGAGAGAGAGAGAGAGAAAGAGAGAGATGGAGATGGTTGGAGAGGACCTTGGGTCAGGGAGACCATTCAGCAAGCTCTTGCAGTAGTCTAGGGGTGAGGTAATGCATGAGGTCCTGCACCAGGGTTGTGACAGTGTCCAAGGATGAGGGGGCTTGACCACTGATTGGATATAGTAGGTGAGAGATAATGAAGAGTTATGAATGACACCAAGGTTATTGCCTGGATGATGGGGTGGGGTGGGGGATGGAGTAGAGGGTGGAGAATGGTACTGCCTTTGACAATAATAACAAATTTAGGAAGAGAGAAATGTTTCAGGAGAAACATAATGAATTCAGCTTAGGACAGGTTGAATTTAAGATACTCTGGTCTAGGCTCAGTTCTGCCATATACTTTTTACTATGTATTCTATGTAATTCTCCTTCCCTCTCAGGCCTCATTTTCCTTAGTTGGAAAGTCATGATAATCCCTGAGGGCCAGTACTAATATTCTGTGATTCCATGGGCTATCAAATCTCCCTTTGGCTTTTGTCTTGTATTTATCTCCTCCCAAGAGGCAGGAGTTAGTGGTGCTTCAGAGAGGCGGGTGAATGGAGGAAACAGATGTGAAGTTGTGGAATCATGTAATCAGCAAATGACAATAGATTGTATTAATAGCTGGTTGTAAACTCACCAAGTCTGTATCTGAGAAAGAGAATTTTTCAGAATATAAAGAAAATCAATTCAAACCATTTGTGAGTTGCCTTACCCTATTTAATATGTACCCCACCCATTCCATCTTTAAAAAAGTGAGGAGAGCTTGGGGAGAGTTGGAGCAGCCCCCCCTTCATCTTGGCTAGCATTAGGCAATTAAGTACTTGCTGAAAACTTGACCAGTGAAATCTGTAGTTGGGAAATGGTTTTTCTTTACACAGAGTTAACTGGCCTTAAGGGGGAAGTGAAACCACAACCCAGGCCTCATCATTACCATCTTTCACCAACTAAACTAACATATACCTAGAATGTTAGCACTACAAGGAACTTTAGCATATAGAATACAATATCAGCGCTGCAAGGGACCTTAGAACTTGAGTGCTACATTTAGAAGAGGCCTCAGAACAGAGAATGTTAGATCTGGAAGGGACCTTAGAACCTGAAATGTTAGAGCTGAAAAGGACCTTAGAACAGAGAATGTTAGAGAAGGAAAGAAGCTTAGAAGTGTTAGAGGTGGAAGGGACCTTAGAACATGGAATGTTAACATTGGAAGGGCCCTTAGAAAATTAATGTTGTATCCAGAAGGAACCTAAGAATGTAGGTCAGGGCTGGAAAGGACTTTAGTAATCACCTAGTTCAGAAGTTCTTACCTTATTTTGTTTTTGTACCATGGACTCTGGCAAGTTCGGGGAAGCCTGTGAACCCTTTAATAAACGCCAGCATTTATGTACATCCTTTTAAGGTTTGCAAAACATTTTATGTATATTATATCATGTTATTCTCATAACAACCCTGGAAGGTAGATGCTATTGTTATCCTCATTTTATAGATGAGGAAACTGAGGCAGACAGAGATTAAGTGACTTGCCCAGGGTCACACAGCTAGTAAGTCTCTAAGGCCGGATTTGAATTTATGTCTTCCCAATGCCAAGTCCAGTGTCTTTCCAGTGCACTACCAGCCTCATGCATTCTCAAAATAATATTTTAAATGCATAAAGTAAAATACGTAGGATTACAAAAGAAACTAATTATATTGAAATAGTTATCAAAACATTTTTCTCATTCAAAGTCACAAACCTGAAATTTTTCCATAGATCTCAGTTTAAGAATACCTCATCTGGTCTAACTCACTCATTTTACAGATGAGGCTACTAAAGCCTAGAAACAGAAGGTAGCTTACCCAAAGCCAGAGTAGGAATGAATAGCCAAGCCAGAATTGGAACCAGAGCTGACTGAGTGACCCAGACATTAAAAAAAACAAAAACCAAAACCAAAAATAAAACCCTTTACCAGGAAATTCCCAGTACCAGTTCGGGGTTTTCCTAAGCATAAGTGAGACATTCTTTCTAATGCTTTTCTATGTGAACAATGTGAATAAGTAGAGCCTTATTAAGTGCTTACAATTTTGTTTATGATATTATTAAATAATAACATTAATTTACTTTGGTATTGTGACCTTCCTATTGTTACTGATGTGCAAAAATTAAATAAATTCCAGTGGGATTCCCAGTCCTTAGTTAATCCCAACCTCAGTTGACCTTGAATAAGTCAGTTTCCTTGTCTGCAAAATGAGATGATTCTAGTAGATAATTGTTAAGGCTGCTTTTGGGCAGCTAGGTGGTATAGTGATTAGAGTGTTGGCCAGCCTGGAGTCAGGAAGACCTGAGTTCAAATTTGACCTCAAGACACTTACTAGCTGTGTGACCCTGGGCAAGTCACTCAACTCTGTCTCAGTCTCCTCTCTGTAAAATGAACTGGAGAAGGAAATGGCAAACCAATCCAATATTTCTGCCAAGAAAGCCCCAAATGGGGTCACAAAGAGTTGGACATGACTAATTGACAAAAGCAAAGGTTCTTTCAATTCTATTGCTCAATGATTCTTTACAAATTAAGATTAGCAATAGAAGTAGAAAAGTTTGTTGAAAAGCATACCGGGCTTAGAAACAAGACACTCAATTTCTTGTCCCAGATTTCCTAACTAGCTATGGGATTTGGGGGCAAATTATTTAATCTCCTCTGAGCCTCAGTTTCTTCCTCTGCAAAAAAGGATCAATAATACCCTCCCTACATCATAGGAAGTGCCTGGTAAACAACAAAGGATTAATAGAAAGTGAGTAGTTGCTGTTTTGATGAGAAGAAAAACTGCCACAGCTTACAAAATGTGAA